ACACGCTGGATATCAGACAAATTAGGAAAACTAATCATACAAATTCATGAATTTATAGGCTCTACTTGAGGCCAGCCACGGAAGTGGTAATGAGTGGACCTGTTTCTTCTGTACACACACGACACCGGTTGTTTCACGAGTATCGTGTCAGCCTCTACTGTTTAGAGTATTCGATACTTGGTTGCTTTTGGCGATTTGTTTGGTACGTAATAGATGATGATAGAGAAGGATTCTTCTGTGCTAGCTGGCTTTGTTGCTGATTTGGACGAGGTGTTCTTATATCGAACTGTTGATGGCTTTTGCCAAGCATTTATTTAGCCATAGAGGTAGATACTTCTAAGTGAGCACGAAAAATTAAATTCTTACGGCGACGGCCTATATAACTGGCTCCACCACAAGTTCAGTTGAATTGGTAGATACAGTTGGAAGTGGCTGGCTAGTCTTGGTACTTCATCGTCCGGTTATCAACCAAGGGACGTGTGTACTGCTCATCAGTTCGCTCCGTCCTTCTCTATGGCTCTGAAACATGGCCAATACGAATTGAACACATGAAAAGGTTGACTGCTTTCGATCATAGATGTCTGCGATCCCTGTCTCACGTTAGGTGGTTTCACAAGATAAGTAATGTTGACGTTAGGCGTAGATTGTTGGGCAAAGAGGGAAAATCAATCGACGAGGCTGTAAAGTTACATAGATTGAGATGGCTAGGTCACGTGCTGCGCATGCCTAACCATCGCCTCCCCCGACGGACATTGCTAGTTGATATAGGTGCAGGTTGGAAAAGAGCCAGTGGTAGCCAAACAAAAACATGGCCTCATCAATCCATGATATCCTTCACAGTTAAACTGAGTCAGGTAGGTAGGGAGATGCAGACTTCCGGGTTGGGGCCCTCGGGACTCTAGGAATCAATGGCTGGAGACAATAGGTGACATGGCTCAAAGTGATCGTTGTCAATGGCCAGCGAAGATGTATTCAGTCTCTGTAATCTTTCATATTCCTTTCTAGCACTACTCATTCTGTTTCACTCTTATACTTGTCAAACTCTATTGATTCTCTTCACTCATCTTCTTGTCTACCTCTGTGTGCTATTTGGAACGTGGCAACTCGAACTGGTGCACTTCGGTGCCAAGTTCTATGTTGAATCCAGACAGACAGACAGACTTCATCGTCCAACTGGAGAATTACCACTGGTCTTTTAGAAAATATGACTTGTAATTTGCCAGCAGTAAAAGTTCCTTGAGGAGATTTTCTCAACTTGTTAGTAATTATTTGACTCTGTAAGTCATCCGTGAATTGCAGTCATATATATATATATAAAGGGATCTTATTTTCAAAGAGGGAACAGCCCTTTTCTACCTTCGTAGTCTTATGTTTCCTGATATTGATCCAATGTTACTTCAACTTTCATGCTATTAATAACCCTAATTCTTTCATTAATGTGGATATCTCACTGTAAAACCAGATGGAATTATCGAAAAATTGTTTCTTTCTTCAGTAATCGGTCTTTCAAAATGTCTAATGGGGATTTTTCATCAATCAAAAATCAAAATATAAACTATTTAAAGCAAACTGATGAATGGTTATTAGCATGCGAATCCAAGATAACTCTCACTTCGTCCTACTTGGGACTCGTCAGCTAACTGGATGTATCTGCATTCTCCAGTCAGTTAGTGATGGTGTTACCACCCCGCCCCACTGAGGCTCGAACCCAATACCTATAGTTTCAAATGCCACACCACTAATCGCTAGACCATTTGGACTACGACAATCACCTTTTGTGCAACGAGTAGTAGTTATTATTTAATTCAATCAGTGGGAAAGTCCAAATTGAATCATACGCTTATGGATGCCAGCTGCCCAAGAAGTGACTCTCTTGGCCCAAATGGTCTAACGGACAAAGCTTTGGCATTTGAAACTATGGGTATTGGGTTCGAGCCCCAGTGGGGGTGGGAACACCATCACTCAGTGACTGGAAAATGCAGGTACATCCAGTTAGCTGACGAGTCTCAAATAGCACGAAATGTATGTTAGCCTGGATTCCACTGCTAGTCACTATCCACCAACTGACTTCATATTATAAAAAATACTCTGTTTTGACTAAACAGTTTAGTTTGTTCAGATAGGTATTAATTAGCCTCATAGCACTTCTCTTTATTACACCCTATTCTCTGAAGACGTTCGTCCTCCCTTCCCATGATCTCTTACACGTCACACTCGAATACATGAAGCATTGTTTCTCATTCAGATTCCACTGTAGGGTTTGCTGAGCGTGTATTATTGCTCAGTGACCTCTTCAGCATGTGTTTACCCAATCTGTATGTGCTTCTGCATACTCCTTGGGGTAACTGGTGGTTGGTTGTAATTTCATTATGGGTGAGATTTATTTTGATAACGTTTCACGGTGTGTTATACAGTAGTATTTACTTATGACCACGTTTCGAGGATAATTTATTACTGCTTATATTCATATGAAGGTACTCACACAACTTTCTTACTTCGTTTATATAACTCCATCACTATTTTTCATCGCTTAATTTGATTGGTAGTAGTATTTTCCATATTTCTGGTATGAGTGATGAGTCATTCCTATTGCATGTGTTTGGTGTAGACTCGATGAACCAGGCAGGATTCAGTTATTAAGCTCCCTCCCCACTTACTTATATTACTTTTTAGAATTTTAATTCTGTTCCACCTGCCGTATTGTGTGGCTGTGTGTCAATCTTATTTTTTTTATTTTTGATTTACAGCTTGATTCCACACTGTATTTTTGGTACAAGTATGGAATTTTCAGCATGGATATCGGTAGCCCAAATTATGCAGGCCGACCATAGATATCAGGTGTGCGCCGGCGTGGGCTCGAACCCCGGACCATGTGCATGGTCGGCGAGAGTCCTAACCACTGTGCCACCGACGCAATCTATGCATGAAGTGCTATTGCTGAGGTTTTCCTCCTAAATTACTTATCTTCTCTGGGTCAATCATTCTTACCTTAACTAAATTTTTATTTGTTCCGACAATTTGACTATTCCCGACCTACTAGTCTGACCTATGTATTTGACCTTACTCACAGGCATTGAAGGGTATTCTGTAAATTATATTATTTTGTAAAATTGGGTCAACCGACAGGGTTCTTCACCTTACAGAGATTGTGCTACCTGAGCGAGTTTTTAGCTTTGAATGCCATCCTAATTTCAGATTTATTAAGAATCCTATTCAGGGAAGGTCTCAGATGTCCCCTCTTTATATGGTAAAACTACCGTGAATGCCTTGTATTCTTTCTTATTTATGTTATCATTATTCGTTTCACCACTATTTTTACTTTGCATCCAACCTTTTTTGATATTCCTAATGAATTTTATAGGATAGTTATTTGATACCAACCTGCTATTCTTCCATCTTTTTATTTCATCCTTTATGTCTTTTCTTGTAGTACTAAGTGCTACTGCTCGGTATGTTAGACACTTAACTACGCCTGCCTTAACAGTTAACTGATGAGATGAATTAAGGTCTAAATATCTATCAGAATGCGTCAGCTTTGCTTTTTTATAAACGCTAGTGTGCAGTTCACCTTATTCTATTCATTTTATTTTACAATCTAACATTATGGCTAATTCTCCTTGTTCATTTTCCGATTCAGATGTGAATTTTATTCCCTCCACTAGTGAGTTTATGTGTGTCAGGAAGCTAGAGAGGGAGATATGTTCTGTTTTTAACACTGTGTGAAAGTGTCATCCACATACATCTCCACCATATTTTTGGAGCAGGATTAAATGAATTAAGAGCAATATTTTCCCAGCTGTCATTCATAAGCATATCTGCTAGCTATGACATTCTCAGCTGCTTAGTTTGTAGTTGAGATGATGCTTCTGCTGAGATAAGTGAAAGAGATGACCTCGTTTAGATTTTGCCTAAGGATCAATAAAACGTTAGCGAATGTTTTAATCACTTGTTCGAGTAAACAGAATATGTATTTGCTGATTCTGTCCGTTCAACTAATTGAGAGCACTTCATTTTATCTTTACCTAATTTCCCGAAAACTTAAATAAATGCAAGTGAAAACAACTAGTTAACAGAAGAAGCATCCAGAGAAGATAGGCCTTCAGGTGAACATGGAGAAAACAGAGGTGATGATGAAGATTTCTGGCTAACAGCAACAGGAACAACAACAACAACAGGCAACAACCAGCCAGCACAAATGGGAGAAATCTGAAAGAAGCAACCTACTTCGCCTGCCTACCTACCTACCTATTTGGGAAGTATCGTTTCAACTAAAGGTGGATGGAACTGACAAGGATATCAAAGCAGCGAGGATCGGAAAAGCAAGACAAGTAAGCTTTCATTACTCTCAAGTCTGTGTGGCGATCAACATCACTCAGCATGAAAATGAAAATAAGATCCGGATTTTCAACTTCAGTATGCAGTCATTGCTACTTACTTTACGCACGGATCAGAGACTTGGCCTGCGCGTCACGAAGGACACTTCGAACACACTACACACCTTCATCGATAGCTGTCTTTGCTCAATACTACTCAAGATCAGATGGCTAGCTAGAAGAGATCATAAACGGGGAGGGATATCTGAGAGCAAAGCAACCCAGCCAGAACCAAACTGTTCAACAAATATTCAAGACGAAATAGAGATGGATTGGCCATACTCTCAGAAAACAAATTATCAAGTGGGTGACATCACACCCACCAGGTCATCACACGAGTGGATCCCAGCCGTATGGCAAGCGACGAGTTGGTCATCAGTGTGAGTGTAGGGTGACATGGAGGTGGTCATGTGAAGAGGAGATGAAAGCATATGGACAGAAGTGTAGCCAGATGAAAGCATCGGCAGAGAACGGAACGTAATGAAGACGTGTGGCTGAAGCCTTATATTCCTCTAGGAACTGAAGGAAACAATAATAATATAATAATAATAATAATGTTTTAAATGTAAAATATAATGAACTCTTAGTCTATGTGTAACTTGCATATTTTTTTTTGTTTATTTTTAGTTATTGACTCTAAATGTGATTATCCATCAGCTTGTAATGCAATGGAAACTCTCCTAGTCCACAAATCTCATGCTGAATCCGGACTATTGGAGAGATTATGCAATCAATTACGAGAACATAAGGTAAGTAGAGAAAAAATGAAATGAATGCGGTTAAATAATAATTTGTGAATTGAGTTAATAACAACAGACGAATTTCACCTACTATACTAGACATAAAATTACATATTATATAAGTTTAGTGAACATAATGCACAATTAGTGATGTAGTCTTAAAATACCTGGATGAGGTTTCTAGTGTAATGACAGAAGACAAAAGGCCAGACAACAGATCGTTCATCGAAAAAATCAACAGATATTTATAGATTTTTATGTACATTATTATTAGCGTTATTGTTAGCAGAGAAACAGAGTCTTCTGATTGGTTGTTTTCCTGCTGAAGGTTATTCTTTCATTCCTTTGTGACAGTTTCTTAGAAAGTCAGGCCATATATCTGCCAATTGTATCTGCCCACGTTAAGTCTGCTGTGATTGGTTGTTGAGTTCCTCAAGGTTAGGCTTTGTTTCTGTTTTTTTCTCATGACCCCGATTTGGGATGTAAACATTGACGTAAACTCCTGTCTACCAATTTTGGCTAGCAGACAGCTCTCACCACACTAGCGCAATCTATTGGTTGTAATCATATCAGTGTAAAAGTGCCAGGGAAGACAAAAGAAAAAGTTATAAAGCTATGGCCAACGAAGCAGAACAAGCTGCAGGCAAAAGAGACCTCACAACACTCTACCAAACAACTAGGTTCCTATCAGGGAAAAGTTCAACACAAATTAAGCCAGTGAAGGATGACAACGAAAAGTCAATCATCAAAGAGATGAAACATAGAAAACACTGAGCTGAACACTTCAAAAGACTTTTAAATTGAGAGCCACCTACAACGCACCCAATAATACCAACAGTGGAAGTAGAACTACCAGTGGACATCAACCATCCGACGAAAAAAGAAATCCTGAAGGCAAAAAAGATGCTAAAAACTGGAAAAGCAGCAGGACCAGATGGAATCCCAGCAGAAACATTGAAAATGGACTCAGAGACACCAGCCGACTTGATGACACCACCACTGGAGAAGGTGTGGAAAGAGAGTAAAGTACCTGCGAATTGAAAGAAAGGCTACCTATTTAAACTGTCAAAGAAAGGAGACTTAGGTCAATGCAAAAATTGGCGCAGCATTATACTGCTGTCCATATCAAGCAAAATACTAAGCCGTATTATGCTAGAGAGAATCAAACATAACCTGGATGAATAACTTCGACCGGAACAGGCTGGATTCTGGAGAAACAAGTCACATCATAACACCATCTATCATTATTGAACAGAGCTTCAAGTGGCAGTCAACTCTCTACCTCGCTCAGCTTCATCAACTTTGAAAAGGTTTTCAGCAAACAGCTTCGATCGAGAGGTGATTTGGAAACTACTTCGCTACTAATGGGTGACGCCAACAATTATACACCTCATCCAACAGTTGTACGACAATGCTGCATGACAAGTAATCCACAACGGGAAACTCACGGAATCCTACGAAGAAGTGAAAACGGGAGTGAGACAAAGATGACTGGCTGTCTACTATCTCCAATGATTTTCCTGATTAATGGAGACTGGATAATGCGACAGACAGACAGACAGTGGCAGGTAGCGAGGAAACAGGCATAAAGTTGTCCCACACAAAGCAAACTTAGAGGATCTGGACATCACCGATGATATAAGTCTGATTTCCCACAAACTGGAAGACATGCAAGTGAAAGGCAAGAAATTGGCAGAACAAGCGCGCGAGAAGATAGGAATTCAGGTGAACATACAAAAGACAGAGGCGATGAAGATTCCTGGTCAGCAGCAACAACAACAGACAACAATCAGCCGGCATAAATGGGATGAACCTGAAAGAAACCACCTCCTTTACCTACCTGGGAAGCATCGTTCCAGCTATAGGCGGATGGAACTGATGAGGATATCAAAGGGGATTGGGAAAGAAGGACAAGCTTTCATTGCTCTCAAGTCTGTGTGTGTGGCGATCAGCAGCACTCAGAATGAAAATGAAAATAAGGTTCGGATATTCAACTCCAATGTGAAGTCATTGCAACTTACTATATGAATCAAAGACTTGGCACTTCGCCGCGTCACGGAGGGAGTTTCGAACAAACTACACACCTTCATCAATAGGTAGCTGTCTTCGTTGAATACTTCGGTCAAGATCGGTTGGCCGGCTAGAAGAGGTCAGCAACAGTGGAGGATCTCAGACAATGAACGAACCAACCAACCGTGCAACAAGAATGTGTGCCAGCTGAAATGGAGGTGGATTGGATTGGCCATACTCTGAGAAAACAAGCCATCGAGTTAGTGACATCACACGCTAGGCCATTGCTCGAGTGAAACCCGGTCAAATGGGCGGCCATACGCGAGTTATAAAAAACATACTTATTATTGTCAAAAAACAATAAATATGAAGCCTTAGTTTATCCATGAAGGTGTAGGTGTTGATTGACTTAAGAAAGACCTCAACTAACCACACTCACTAAAGACTTCTCCTCTTAATACCCTAATCACTACATTACCTAGCGTGTAGGTGCCGATTAACGATCTTAAAGTAAAAAGGCTGGACACTGGGTAGTGTCTCCTGATGAAAGTTGCATTTGCAACAGATTAAATATCAATTTTTAATGAATAAAAATGTTTTACAACTTATCTTTTGCCTGTCTGGGTAGTAGGCTCTAAGAGTGCGCTTAATGGTAGCACAATAAGGCAGTGAGCCACATGTGAACAGTCAGGCAGGAAATAAAAAGATAGCGTGGCGTCATAGTGCATGCATGCGTCAAAATAAAAGTTCAAACATTCAAGGTGCACTATAAAAGGCTTTAAATTTACTAGAACTTCTAGCAAAATTCTTATTCTGTTATTATTCCATTAGTTCCAAATTGGTTTGTTTATTATATATACATCACACAAAAAGTGTGAAACAGTATTATTATTATTTCGAATCCCAGTGGGTGCGTACTGCCGATGATTCCCAAACTAGTATGAAACAGCAGCTGTCCAGGACTCCGGTGCTGGTTTTCAATGTTTCTCTAACTGATATCAATCCGTGATCAACTCGTAAAAAAAACATGACTAACCCTTACAAACCAAACTATAGGAAGTTATTATTATTTACTGGATGACGAATTCTCAAACACAATTTATTGTTCATAATCATATAGAATAATTATAATCACTCAACTTCGAAACTTGAGTTTAATAGTTTTCTTTGTTCTCTCCTATTCGTCGTCGTAATGGTAGTAGAATTTACCAGATATCTGGATAGAAAGGTGTTGAATAATTCCTGTTACACGTATTTGCAGTTGATTCGATAAACAAAGCTTCTTTTATCAATCTCTCCCTCCAACCTGCTGTTACATTAGATTTTAAAACTGTCATCTTATCCCATCCCAGCCTATTGTATGGTTGTGTGTAACTGCATGTACTGAGTGCTATCTACGGCTGAAATATTCTCTAGATTTCTTATCTTATTCGGGTCAACTAATCTAGATTTCGCTAGGTTTCTTTGCTCCTCTAATCTGACTGCACCTGCTGTACTACTTTGACCTATGTATTTGACCTGACAATCATTGCAGACAGGGTATTAGATAAACCAAATTGTTTTGTTTAATTGGCCCAACTGGCAGGATCCTTTAACCGACAAAGCTTGTTTCTAGTTGAGTTTGTAGGTGGTTTCAATGCCACCGTTAACAAGGCAGGAATAAAAGTGACTGCCATTCAAACCACCTACAAACTAAATTAGAAACAAGCTTTGTCGGTTAAAGGATCCTGCCAGTTGGGCCAATTAAACAGAACAATTTGGTTTATCTAATACCCTGTCTGCAATGATTGTCAGGTCAAATACATAGGTCAAAGTAGTACAGCAGGTGCAGTCAGATTAGAGGAGCAAAGAAACCTAGCGAAATCTAGATTAGTTGACCCGAATAAGATAAGAAATCTAGAGAATATTTCAGCCGTAGATAGCACTCAGTACATGCAGTTACACACAACCATACAATAGGCTGGGATGGGATAAGATGACAGTTTTAAAATCTAATGTAACAGCAGGGTGGAGGGAGAGATTGATAACAGCGGAAGCTTTGTTTATCGAATCAAGTGAAATAGAATATTTGTCATAGGAATGATTCAACAACTGTCCACCCAGATATCTGGAGAATTCTACTACCCCAATGACGAATAGGAAACTATAGTTGAAACTATAAAACTCAAGTTTCGAAGTCGTGTGATTATAACTGATGATATAATTATGAACAGTGATAAATTTTGTTCGAAACTGTGTCACCCAGTAAATACTAATGCTGTTCCACTGTGTGCATTATCTTCTAATAAACAAATTAATATGGAATTACATACTACCATGGTGCCCAAGTTTTACACATATATTAATTATTCCTTTAATTACTCTAAATCAATGTCTGTTTTAAATTCACTAATTACTAATTCAATCTTTATTACAATAAAATGGTGTAATTTTCAGGTCAAACTATACGCAGGTCCAGGTATGATTCGACTTGGTGAAAATTTAACCGATGCAATGGAACCAGCAAAAGAATTATCGCATGAATATGGGGATTTAGAGTGTACTGTTGAATTGGTTGAAAGTTTAGATGAAGCTATTGAACATATTGCATTGTACGGTAGTTCACATACTGAATGTATTGTCACTGAAGATAGTAAGTTCTGATTGGTATTCAGCAAGTTTTTTTCTGTCAGTATCTTTGTAGTACCTCATTCGAAGAAATTATTTATTTATTTTATTATAGCTTGACTCCTCACAGTATTTTTGATATCAATAGCCTGAATTTCGCAGGCTGACCATTGATATCGGGTGTGCGTCAGCCGCGGATTGAACCCGAGACCATGTGTGTGGTCGGCGGGCGTCCCAACCACTGTGACACCGACGCACTATTCCCTAGGGTTCCTATTGGAACATATGACTTCGGGAGAACGCTAACATTGCAGTCTATTCCCTTAAGCCTTTTATTGTTAGCTCTATGATTCCGCATTAACTTTCGTCTTGTCCTCATACAATATCATCCATGTTACCCTCGGTATTGACATTATTTCAAGAATAACTGAGAACATAGAGTGTAATGTTGCAAATCCAAAATGATTTAGAATGACAAATGAAACAAGTGAAATAATACTGGGAGACAATTCAAAGTGAAAATAGTAATAGTAACAATTGACGTAATAAGGGAAGCAAATACAAACTGAATAAACAAAACGAAAAGTAAGTAGAACCAAAAGATGATTAGGGATCACCATACTTTAGTATCGAGGGACTGAAGACTATGGGAGTTGAAATGGTTAAACGAACTTTTTCTGTACACGGAGATCTGACTTTTCTGTTTCGATAGCCAAAGCTTCAGCAATGCAAATGAGTCTGGTAAGTTGGGATTTAGGTAAATTACTCTTTGACTTGTATATGACTTTAAAGGCGGAGGCTGTAGAGATAGAGTTACCGGTATCGACCAGATGTTCAATGATCGCGCCTCTCATATGAGTGGCACTGAAGCTATAATAATAATTTTTGCTTTATTCCAAAAACGTAGCTCAGCCATGAAGAAGGCTCTTCTCAGTGATCTGCATAAGGGATTCTTCAGGATCTCAGCTACAGTATCACCTTTAAATTCAAAGCTCATAAACAGCCGTTTCTTCGGCACCGTCTGGATTCTTTCAGGTTTTTCCTTTAACTTCGTGTTCTTCTCGATAAATCTTGGAGGATATCCATTCTCTTTGAAGACTTGTCTAAATCGCCCCAGTTCCGCATCAATTGTATCACTGAAAGATATCTAAAGCCATTTTCTGAGTGATTATATCAAATATGCCACCCCCTATTACTCAATAATAATAATAATAATAATTTTTGCTTTATTCCAAAAACAGTACTAATGATACAGCAAGGAATTTTCAGCATTCAGTACAATATTGCATCTAATTTACTCAAAAACGACAAAAAAAAATTAAAAATACACAATACATAATAGTAATAAAACGATTGTTATAGCAGCTACGTAGCAAAATACTGTGTGCCATACGGAGAAAAATATGTATAAAGTACAAAATTGTAGTAATAATAGTAATACCAACTAATATAAAATAGCAGAGTAACGATTTAAACGATAGAAAGTGTGACACCATAAAATACAGAAAGATGAACGATAAAAGGGTCGATTCACTGTGCTAATTACATAGTAACTTGTAAGTTTCACGTCTAACAGAGTCTTCGTCACATAAAGTACGCGCTAAATAGGGTATTGTAGAATTTCTATACTTAGTAGTACGAGCATATATCTTTTTATATTGACTTCTCGTCCTACCTGATGAGATACAAGGGGACAGGTGTGAATAAAGGGGGTGCAGAGGGTCTGACATTATAGCCTTTGCCCATTTCGTACAGGAATTTATATGCCTCTCGACTATAGTATTAGCGAGCTCATGCAGTGGCAGACCACAAGCTCTACTCACAGCATTTAATACTCTTCGTAATATGATATAATCTTTTTTGAGAAGCCCAGGAAAGATTAATGGAGAGCAGTAGAGTACAATAGGTAAAATACAGGAGTTTAAAAATTGCAAAACTAAAGGTTGGTTGATACCTGATTGTCTTAACTTTTTAATGTAGAAGGTAAGACGAAACATTTTCTTAGAGATAGATAAGATATGGGATGACCATGAAAGGTCAGAGGAAAAAACTAATCCAAGGTATTTAATGCTTGATTTGGTTTCAATTTCCGTGCCATCTATGCTACAGGGATCATGAGAGTTAACTAGTTCAAGTAAGTCACGTCGATGCTTGAAAGTAAAGTCAAGCACCTGACATTTGGAAGGATTTAATATAAGACCATTTGACTTGGACCAGTTGTTGATGTCCAACAGAAAGCTATTAAGTTTGGAGCTGTCAGACTCGGAAGTGATAGGCAGTGATACAGTCAGATCATCTGCATATTTGACAAAGTTAGTTTCGTTTGAATGAGGCAGGTCATGTAGGAAGAAAGAAAAAAGAAAAGGAGAGAGGACAGCACCTTGTGGAACACCGGATTTTGTAAGCGAGGTAGAAGAAGATTTGCCGTTATATACAGTATACTGCATTCTATCAGAAAAATAGGAATGCAACCAACTCTTAGCCCAGGATCCTGTTTGTGTCAACGATAGCTTATTTAACAAAAGGCCCCTAGGTACAGAGTCAAAAGCAGATGTGTAGTCTAAGAAAGCACTACGAACATATTTAGCACCTTTGTCTAAACAAGAGACAACATTGTGATATAAGACAACCGCAGCATCCAAGGTACTTCTACCATGTTTGTATGCAAATTGTTTAGGATCATTAAAAGGTTTCAAAGCGGGTTCAAGACGAAGTAAAAGTAATTTTTCCATCAATTTTAAAAAGGGGGAAGTAATTGCAATAGGCCGAAATTTAATATCAGAACCAGAAGATGGTTTTGGTATAGGGATAATTTTAATGTTTTTCCATGCAAAAGGTAGAACGTTACCGGAAAAAGAGCATTAAAAATGTTAGTAAGAGGATAACACAAAATATCAGCACAATTCCTGAGGACAATGGCAGGTATGCCGTCAGGACCAAGGCTTTGAGAAGGCTTAAGAGACCGGAGACATTTAAGCACATCAAGGGTATTAAAACCACTAAAGTTATTGTCAATATGATTTGTATCATTTGGAAGGGTATCAACAGAAGAGCGTATGAAAGATTTATTAAGAGTGTCAACATTAAGAGATGGAACAGAAATACATCGCTTACCGTTAGTAATTTCTTTGAAAAGTTTCCATAAATTAGAAGGGGTTTTACATGACAAAAATCTTTGATTATATAAAACATTTAGTCTTTTTATTTCCAGTTTTATCAGAATGTTTAACTTTTTTACACCAGGCTTATCATTAGTTTTGAACAACAGTTCTTTATTTCTACGTAGCTTTTTGAGATATGGCGAAGATAAGCGATCAAATCGAATGAATAATGTTTCTTTAGGACAACATATTTCGAAACAGAATTTAAGATAATCGGTAGTGTTTGTGATTGTTTCATCTAATGTTTGTTCTGTAAATAAGTCCCAGTTAGTGTCTTTCAACATGCATCTGAGCTTGTCTAGGTTGTCTTTTGAGTAGCATCTCCGTTGAACTTTACTGTAGAGGTGAGAGAGGACACCTTTGTGTGATTTGGAATATATTTTAGGCAGTACACGTATGATGCAGTGGTCAGAATTAAGTAAAGGAGCACGTTTGCGAGCTTCATATATACCAACATCATTGATAAATACTAGGTCCAGTTTTTACCAAGACGGGTGGCAAAGTTAACAATATTGTCATGACCAAGTGATATAAGGAAGGAGCAATCGCTTCCATTGAAGTCGCCAGTTACTATTGATAAAGAGTTCTCGAAACAAGCTGCAGCAAAAGCGGTGAATTCATCGGCGAACATAGATAAATCCAATATGGTACAGCCAGGAGAGACATAAACATTAGAAATATAAATGAATTTGTATTTTGACAGGTGTTTCGGGCGACATCTCACAGTGATGCAATCAATGAAGTCATTCGAGAATTTGAAACAAACTTTGTTTGAAATGGACCATTTTGAGTGAATAAAAGTTGCAACACCTCCACCACATTTTTTCTTGGAACAAATACGGTCTTGTCGAAAAACATTGAAATTGTTTAGAGACACAATATTGTCATCGTATGAGTCATGGAGCCAGGTTTCTTGTAGAGTGACAATACCAGTATTGTGGTAGGTACTAGAAGACAACAGAGACTGAAAATCCAGAATTTTATTAGGCAGGGACCGGCAGTTGGTACTAATGATAACTGGAACAGTGGTGTGATGTATGGGTGTAGATTTTAAGGCACGCTGCCAACCTCCATGGTGCTTTTTCTTGAGTTTATTGCAAATATGAAAGTTTTTGGGTTTAAAACGTTTTATAAAATCCCGGGAGTGAATAATACGATTAGAATGCATAATGTGATATGTAAATACCAATAAAATACGAGTAAATAGATGCAAAATGTACATGGAATGTGGTAGCCCAAAAATGTTCAAACAGGCCGCCAAGGTCATTCGATGTCAAAAAGATGTCAAAAAAGTGGAATCATTCTAAATAACTGAGAACCAAAGAGTACTGAAAATACTAGTTTTAGTGGTATGGAACCATGAACCAGCCAGGGATCCAACTCATGAGGAGGACCCCGTAAACCGATTATTCATTGGGATATAACGTTATGAGACGAGAATTTTAACTTCTACTAATTTGTGAAATACAGTGTGATCTTTGGTTAGTGTCATCGGCGAGTATTTACTGTTACACATAACCTGGTTGAACATACTAGTCATGACTTCTTAATCACTAGTGAGTATTGGATTGAATTTTATGTGTTGCTTTTTCAGGATTTCATTAATTTCACGTTAAACCATGAACTAACTTCAATTAGTCCTTCTAAGGATAGCCGCAATACAACAAATTCTAAATTCTACTGAATTAATTATTCAGTGTTGAGGATTGTGGACTTTTGAATGACTTCGAAAAGTTAGAACTCGTGGCTCTGTGAATTTCGCTCGGATGAATATAGGAAAGACAGGGGTAATAAAATTCCTGGCCAACAACAACAGCCACAGCAGCAACAACAGATGACAGTCAGCCGGCATAAATGGGTGAAATTCAATTCAATAATTAATATGACCCGTTGCACAAGAGGTGGCTCTCGTGGCCCAAGTGGTCTAGTGGATAACGCTTTGGCGTTTGAAACTATGGGTACTGGGTTCGAGCCTCGGTGGGAACATCATCACTCAGTGAGAAATGCAGGTACATCCAGCTGACGAGTCCCAAATAGGACGAAATGCGCATCCTGGATTCCACTGCTAGCCACCATCCACCAATTGTATACTAAATGAGAGAAATCTGAAAAAAGCAACCTCATTCACCTACTAACTACCTGGAAAGCATCGTTTCAACTACAGGCGGACGGAACTGATGAGGATATCAAAGCAGCGAGGATCAGGAAAGCAAGGCAAGCAAACTTTCATTACTCTCAAGTTTGTGTGAAGGAGATCAACAGTACTCAGCATGAAAATGAAAATAAGATCCAGATTCTCAACACCACTGTGAAATCTAGTCAGTGATACTTACCATGAGGATCAGAGACTTGGCGCGTTAGGAAGAGCACCTCAAACAAACTACACACCTGCATCACCAGCTGTCTCCTCTCAGCAATGCTCAGTATCAGATGACCGACCAGGAATGATCAGTAACACGAATCTATGGCAAGGAAAGAACCAACCCAGAAAGAAACCGATTGTGAAACACATATGCAGGAAGAAATGGACGTGGATTGGATTTGTCATACTCTGAGAAAACAAACTATCAGGTGGGTGATATCACACGCGAGTCCACCGCTCGAGTGGAAGCTGGATGGGAATTGGCGAGTTGGTGGTCAATCGGAGGGTGGGGTGACATGGAGGAGGTGATGTGAAGAGGACATGAAGAAATGTGGGCAGATGTGGAGCCAGATGAAAAAGTTGGTGTAGAACCGAACGCAATGGAAATGTGCGGCTGAATTCCTATGTTCCTGTAGGAACTAAAGCAAACAGCAGTGATAATAAATAATGGGTTTTTGAATTTCGCTTCAGTGTCTGAATAGTTAATGGCCTACTCTCGTAACCTTAATGTTTTGATATTGTTCTCAGGTGGGATACATCTGAAAATTTTCAACCAAGGGAAAAACACCAATCTAGTACTCCTTGTTTTCTTTTCAGTATTTCTCGAATTGATACCAATTTCTCATACACGTTCCACCGTGATATTTTGTTAATTTTTAAAACTCCATTTTCATTAGAAAATGTCAATTTATTGAGAAACTAATTATACAAATTATTAAAGCATTAGAAATTAAATTTCGTCATTCAACTAAGTGAAAACATATTTTGATTGTGCAATGAGTAGCCTTTTTCGTGAGTTACACTAAGGGGATGCCTTCACATTTACTCACCTATCGGTATTTAACTACACACTACAATAAACAAATGGAGATGAATTTACCATAAGCATAAACAGTCGCTTCGTCCTACTTCGGGATTCTTCATCAATGTGCATCCATGACCCTTTATCAGAAATATGGTTCAACACCTTCAGGTTACCATGTCCAGCCTGTTGATCCTCGAGTCATTTGGTGATGGGGGGGGGACTCAGAGACCTAAGAATTCCAGCTTTTATCGATTGGTCATACAGCCACTTCCTGTTGAGTACATGTTCCAACCATCTGTCTACTTCCCAATGTGATAAACTTCATTAACATTGTATTGGATGCATGGATAAGTTTGGCATATATGAATTTTAGGCAACTAATATGTAGGCGTCGTTGGCATAGTGGTTAGGCCGCTCGCCGACCATACACATGGTCCCAGGTTCGATCCCCGGCCGGTGTACTCCTTTTTTCACTTCGCTAAGCCAGAAATAATCCTGGTAAAGAGGAAAGGTTGGGTATGAGGCTGGCTAGCAACCCAATCCTGTAAAATTAAATATCACTGCTACAGAAACTTCAAGCCTTCTAGTTTGTAGCCCTATGTTCCACTGGGAACGTGAAGGGAAAAAAGAATATGTTTTAGGCTTTTTTTTGTCCATAAAGTTTTCAGTGTTCTATAAAACTCCCTCTCTGAAGTCTTAAAAACAATTTTAATAATTAAAATTAATTAAAATTAATTTTTATTTCAATAATGAAAAATTTTTTTTCCGATCTCTTTCTATTCACCTAAACTTTAGAGGCTGTAGCAGAAATGTTCCTTCAAAAAACTGACAGTGCTTGCATATTTCATAATGCAAGTACACGATTTGCTGATGGATACAGATTTGGATTAGGTGAGTTTTAAAATTATATGAAGGTGGTAGTCTGTTTTTAAAAATGATATCTGAAGTTTTTGTTATTATTACTTACTGCCTGATTTCCAAGTAGAGCCTAGGGTTCGTGTGGCACATCTGTATTACACCTAGTTTTCTGTTATCCTTTTTAATTAGATCCGTAACTATATCCTCCTTATAGGATCATTTCCATGTCAAACTCAGACTTAGCCTCAACTTGTCTGTCGCTTTCTATTCACGTTTCAACGGGGCGTCTGACAAAGTACATGATGTCACTCGACTATCTTCTCAACGTATACCCTGTCCATTTCCATTTTCTTCTACATATTTGTTGGGCGGGTCACAAAGAATATTTCCAAAAGGCTGCAGACCTTTATTAACAACTGTCTTCTCTGGCTCTATACTGAAGATCAGATGGCCGGAAAGAATCACCAACAAAGAATTATGGGAACAAACAAAGCAAGAACCAATTGCCAACGAACAAATATGCAGGAGAAAGTGGAGATGGATCTGACACCCGCTGAGGAGACCGCTGGGTGACATCGCGCGTCAGGTCATCGCTCGAGTGGAACCCGAAAGGGAAGCGGCGTGTGGGACGTCAGTGCAAGGGTGACATGGAGGAGATCGTGTGAAGAGGAGTTGAAAGAAGATGGATTAACATGGATGCAGGCGAAAAGTACAGCAGAAGACAGAAGAAAATGGAGACGTGCAGTTGAAGCCTTCCTATGTTCCACTAGGAACCCAAGGGAGCAATAATAATAATCATGAAAAATATTTGTTGGGCGATAGGTTGTTGACTCGTTCTCTGTTTGTCAGAGTTCCCTGTGAGTTATCCTTTTCAGGCTGCCATCTGATCTTCGGTGTCGAGAAAAGACTGCTCTTGATTAAACTTTGCAGTAGCCTGTGGGAAATGTTTTTGATGATGCATTCACCATGTTTCTGAACCATAAAAAAATAACTGACTTGACTTTAATCAGAGAGTAGGTGACACCTAATGTCATGCATCCCGTTCTACGTTTGATGCCGGCTGGATTCTATCAACCAATTCAAAGTGCGCCAAGATGGCTGGCATAGTAGCCGCGTCAACAGAGCGATCCAATTTATACAAGCACCAGTTAAAGAAGAAAGAATCCCCATTCAGACATTAAGAAAGTATCCATTCAGTCATGAAGAAAATAAAAGGAGAATTCAGCGACGAAGATTTTCTTTATCGACGAAATCATCTTCAGAGGCTGTACAGTCATATTTACACTTACAAAATATATATACTGGTCTGTTACTGAGTACTAGGGGGTGACATAATTGATATAATTACTCAGAAGTGGCTTTAGAAGTAAAAATTAAAAGTTGTAAATTACGTGGTACTCAACGGCACAAAGATAGAAGTTTGATAAGGTTAAAATGGCTCTTGAGTGAGAATAAAGGTATTTGAGTGTCAATTTAACAAGTGTGAAGTGGGTGTGAAAATATACAAAAGGAGCACATGAAACTGATAATAGTGAATTAATTATTAAAGCAAAAGCAAGCTAAAAGTAAAATTAAAAAAGAAAAGAAACATCAAACGTTTTTTATCAGGGAACGATTAGTGAAGAGGTTAAGATAAAGGTAGAATGAGAGACTGAACAAAGTTTCTCTCTATACAGAGTTCGAGGTTATATTGACGAATCGTCAGCGCCTCCGCCATACACAAAAGCCGAAACCTGATTCCCTTTCTACCATTTGACTTCACCTTGTAGATGATCTTGAAAGACGACGTTGAGTACCACGTAATTTACCACTGTTAATTTTCACCTCTAAAGCCACTTTTGAGTAATTATATCAATTGTGTCACCCCCTTTTACTCAATAATAGACCACTGTACATTTTTGGTAAGTATAGATACGACTGTACAACCTCTGAAGATGATTTCGTCGATAAAGAAAATTTTTCTTCGCTGAATTTGTCTTTTATTATCTGCATTTAGAAAGCGAAAGGAATAAGCGAAGAAATATTAACCTCTTCAATTTGATCCTCGCCTCACTCTGGCTCTACTCTAATATACACATATACACAATTTTTATCACAGTACACAACACAATTCGCCAATCAAGTGACGGGGTTTGATAATAACCAAACAGTTATAGTCTAGAAATAATTACAACACTGATAACATGTAATTAAAGACGTAGTAGTGAGAAAAAATAATAATGATAAAACGTCTAGGTACCACCTTACGGCCAAACTTTCGACACAAATTAAGCCAGTGAAGGATGACAATGGAAAGTCAATCACCAAAGAGGTGGAACAAAGGAAATACTGGGCTGAACACTTCAAAAGACTTCTAAGTCGACCACCCCAACAATACGAACAACGGAAGCAGAATTACCAGTGAACATCAGCACCCCCGCCAACCCCCGAACGAGAATAGAAGTCCTGAAGGCAATCAAGATGTTAAAGGCTTGAAAGGCAGCAGGACCAGATGGAATCCCAGCGGAAACATTGAAAATGGATCCAGAGACAACAGCGGACTTGATGACGCCATTACTGGAGAAGGTGTGGAGAGAGAGAAAAATACCTGCGGTCTGGAAGAAAGGCTACCTATTTACACTGTCAAGGGAAGGAGACTTAAGTCGATGCAAGAAATTGCGCGGAATTATGCTCCTGTCTATTCCAGGCAAAATACTAAGCCGCATCATCCTAGAGAGAATCAAACAAGCCCTAGATGAAAAACTTCGACCGGAACAGGCTGGATTCAGAAGGAACAAGTCATACATCGATCAAATCGTAATACGATGTATCGTCATTGAACAGAGCTTGGAATGGCAGTCAACTCTTCACCTCACTCAACTTCATCGACTTTGAAAAGGACTTCAGCTGACAGCGCCGATCGAGAGGTGATTTGGAAACTACTTCGCCACTACGGGGTGCCACCAACAATTATACACCTCATCCAACAGTTGTACGACAATGCTGCATGACAAGTAATCCACAACGGGAAACTTACGGAATCCTTCGAAGTGAAAACGGGAGTGAGACAAAGCTGGTTGGCTGTCTACTATCTCCAATGATTTTCCTGATTAATGGAGACTGGATAATGCGACAGACAGCAGACAACGAGGAAACATGCAAAAAAATGGACTCACAAAAACAAACTTGGATGATCTGGACTTCGCTGATGACATATATATTTCTGATTTCCCACAAACCGGAAGATATGCAAATGAAAAGTAAAAAGTTGACGATAGAAGAAGCATCCGGAGAAGATAGGCCTTCAGGTGCACATAGAGAAAACAGAGATGATGAAGATTCCTGGCCAACACCAACAGCAACCAGAACATCAATAGACAACAGTCAGTCAGTAAAAATGGGAGGAACCTGAAAGAAACAACCTCCTCCACCTACCTACCTAACTGAGAAGCATCGTTTGAACTACAGGCGGAACTGACGAGGATATCAAAGCAAGAATCGGGAAAGCAAGACAAGCTTTCATTACTCTCAAGTCTGTGTGGAGGTCAACAGCACTCAGCATCAAAAATAAGATCCGGATTTTCGACTCCAATGTGAAGTCAGTCAGTGCTACTATACGGATCAGAGACTCGGCGCTTCATAAAGAGCAGCTCAAAAAAACTAAAGACCTTCATCAACAGTTGTCTTCGCTCAATACTACTCAAGATCAGATGGTTGACCAGAAAATATCAGCAACATGAAGGGATCTCTGGGAGCGAACCAACCAGGAACCGATAGTGCAACAAGTAAGCAGGAAGAAATGGAGATGGATTGGCCATAATCTGAGGAAACCATCAAGTGACATCACTAGACAAGCCATCACTCGAGTGGAACCCGAAAGGGAAGAGGCGAGTTGGTCGTCAGTGCAAGGGTGACTTGGAGGAGGTCGTGTGAAGAAGAGATGAAAGCATGTGGTCAGACTTGGGGCCAAGTGAGAAGGTTCGCAAAGAACCGAACGCCACGGAGATGTGTGGCTGAAGCCCTTTGTTCCTCTAAGAATTAAAGGAAATAATAATAACAATTTGGATAATTATGATTTTTAAAGGTTTAGACGTGAAGTAGTTTGGTTTATACATTCATGTAACGATGGAAAAGGTAAGAAAAGAGGCTGTGAGAATTTCTTCTGAACGCGCACAGGTTTAACTCCTTCAGTTGGATTTCTGTTGCTTCAGCAATATGTAGAAGATGAACTTTTTCCAGCTGTGATTTATTTGATTTTTGGGTCTTCACATCTTCTATATTCGTTAGTGAATGAATCTTTGAGGGTAAGTGTTGCTTTTCAACATCAATTTCGAGAGTCGTAAATTCTTCCTGTAATTTCTCTATAGACCAGAATCTCCTAGCTCTATAGTATAGAGTTGATAGCTTTTTGGACAAAAAACTATTAGAATGTAGGTATTATCCACTCCATGAAGTCTTTCGGTTAGTTGACCTCCGGAGACTACAATCTTCTAGGCGTTGCATAGCAATGTCGAGGAAATAGAACTTTCCCTCATTTTTATGTTCCATAATAAATTCAATATTTGTATGTGCGTCACTGGAAGTCAGACTTCATACATATTCAGATTATTCAACTGACATAATGTGAAATTTGCAAGTGTGTTAAAACTTTTCTATACATGGACTCAATAAGAATTTATTTAGACTGTAAGCAGCTGAAGCTGATGAGAAGCCAACGGACGAAATAAACACCGATGATACCATCTTGTTAATCTGCACAAACTACTGTTGTTCTTGCTTTATTAAAAGATACTTGACGTACATGGTATATATTACCTGTTACATATATATATATGCATGTATATTCTATTTTTCGACTAAATAGGCGCTGAAGTTGGCATAAACACTGGACGTATTCACGCTCGTGGACCAGTTGGTGTTGAAGGTTTACTCACGACGAAATGGCTTCTACGTGGAAATGGTCAATGTGCATCTGATTTCAGTTCAGGAAAACTAACTTATACTCATGAATCCTTACCCATAGAATAAATAAATAAATAAAATAATATATAAATATGTGTTTATAATTTACATTTCTATCCATACTAGTATTATTTTTATTATGATAAACAGCATATATTTCTCTTCTAACTCGTCGTAATTATCTTTATTATATAATATAATCAATTTTCTAATAAACTGCCTTTATTTTTGGTTCTTTCCACTTTGAACTGAAATCCTTTCATTGATATAAGAATAAAACTTGTGCACTGTGGTAGAGTGTAATTTCATTATGGGTAAATTTTGTTTTGATAAAGTCTCACAGTGTTATACAGTAATGTTTACTGATGACCACGTTTCGAGCACAATTTACTATTACTGCTCATTATCATATCAAGGCACTACTCACACGACGTCCTAACTTCATTTATATAGTTCCATTGTTTTTCACTTGATTTGATTGGTAGTAGTATTTTCCATACATCAGGTATGAGTGATGAAACATTCCTATTGCATGTGTTGCGTGTAGAGTCGGCGAACCAGGCAGGATTCAGTAATCAACCTCTCCCTCACTCTCCACGTACCTAGATTACTGTTTAGAATTTTAACCCTCTCCCACCCACCCTATTGTGTGGTTGTGTGTTAGCGCATGCATTGCAATTGCTGAGCTTTTTTCTAAATTACTTATCTTCTCGGGATCAATCACTCTTACCTTAGCTAAATTCTTATGCTCTGACAATCTGACTACCCCTGACCTACTAGTTTGACTGACCTATGTAGTTGACCTCACTGACAGTCATTGCATGGTATTTTGTAAATAATATTATTTTGTCTAATTGGGTCAACTGGGTCCTTTAACCTACAGAGCTTGTCCCTGAGTGAGTTTGTAGGTTTAAATGCCACCCTTATTCCTATTTTATTCAGAATCCTACGTAATGTCTCAGATGTGTCCTCTTTATATGGTATAACTGTGGATGACATATTCTTTCTTATTTATGTTATTATTACTAGTTTCACAATTATTTTTATTTTGTTTTTGGCCTTTAATGATCTTCCTAATGAATTTTATAGGATAGTTATTCAACACCAACGCTTCTTCTATCTGTTTTAATTCATCATTTAGATCCTTTTTTGTGCTACTTAGTGCCACTGCTCGGTTTGTTAAACAATTAACTAAGCCTGCCTTAACAGTTAAAGGATGAGACGAATTAAAGTATAAATATCTATTAGAATGCGTTGGTTTTCTAAAATCCTTGGCTGAAATCCTTCCAGCCAATTAAAGTTATTTTAAAAGAAGCAAGAGATGTTGTATTAATTTTTCAGGCAGTTTAAATATCCCTAGTGGGTCATTTGAAAGAAAGAAGACGTTCAGCAAAGAGACTCTTTCCAACAGAGAATTCATTCACATTGCTAGCTGTACAATCGCATTGATATACAATTGTTTTGTGTGTGTGTGTGTTTGTACATGAGGTTTGTCAAGTTTAGATAATTAATGAATTAGGTAATACAAGAATGATCTAATAAAGAAACAAGGTTAATTGGACAGCAACTAAAGTAAGATTGAGTTAGTTAGTAAGTTAGATGACGTAATATTATTGACTAAAATGTTTCAACTTAGGTCAGGGTAGCAACAGAGGTAATTACAGGTAGAAATTAAGTAGAGGTGGGGTAGAGAATAATGCCACTGAAATTGAGCGATTAAGTTGGATAACGTAACATTGAGCGTTGGTCAAGTCAGTAACGGTGGTAGTGAGGTGTAGAAGTTAAATCGGGTGGGGGTAGAGAACAAGAAAGTTGAAAATGCAAAATATTACAATTGAGAAGACAAAATAATGAAGAGAGAGAAAAAAGGATTAGGTAAAATTTACTTGTCGGATAATTGTCGGATAGATTAAGTTCATTGTAAGTGTAGTTGTAACAACAGAAGACAAGGGCCAGGCAACAGATCGTTTTATTACGGAAATCAGCACGTATTTATATATATATCACATACATTATTATAGCTTATGCAAGTAGACAAGCGCAGTCATCTGATTGTTTGTTTATCAGAAGTAAGGCAGACAAACGCAGGCTTCTGATTGGTTGTTTCGGGATTCCTCGATAAATAGAGTTCTCTATCTGCGAATCATATTTTGCCACGTTAACTTTGCTGAGATTGTTTGTTGAATCAGTCTTGTACATATTTTCCCACGGCCTGCTCTCACCACATAGTGATTGAACAAACGCCTTCTATATGCAGAGTTCAGGACTTAGTAAGTGAATTACTATTGCTTCTGCAGTCTGAAGATGACTGCTTCGTATCCTGTATACGAATTCGAAGTTTTTTCGGGGTGTGGCTGGGTGTCCGGAATCTAAAAGATGTTCTAAGATCGAGCTGCGGGGGCCATAGTTTTTCTCCCTTGTAAAACTATGCTCGTAGGTGTTCGGTGATATGTTTGGAAAGCGAACGCTGGTTACGGCCGACATACCTGGCTCCACACGGGCAAGTGAATAGGCAGATACACACTGATGAAGTCAGCAGTGGTAGCTTACCATTCACGTTCATACGAATCATAGGTTTCTTGAAGAAGGTTAATCGTAGTTGAGGTGCAAAGAGGGTTTCCTTAAGTGAACGGTAGAGTAGATTTTTCAGTGTTTTGCATAGATTTTTTGTTTGATTGGCTGGAGGATTTCCTCATGAGCTGATATCAGTTAGAGAATCTCAGGAAAACCACCACTAGGGAGTACTGGGCACCCAGCTGTTTCGTCAGCCTAGTTTAAAACTCTTGATCAGTACGCATCCACCAACACACATCAAACCCAGCACCTTCTGGTTGCAAGACCAGCGATCTCGTAGACCATTAACCACTGGGGCACGATCCAATCAATCTAACAAAAATGCCTCAAAAAGTAAATACTTGGAAATTGGCCTGATGCTCACTAGCGGCTGGCTCTATTCAGGCAGTTAACCTGCAGTTTTAGTGGGAAGCCGTGACCAGTAGGGTGCAGCAGGTTGAAGGTGAGGCAGTAACTCATCGAAGAAGACACTGCTAAGTGGTCACGCTATATCGTGAATTAACAGAAATTAGAATTTATGAACTGACCATTGGATTGGCGAATCTCAATGGCTGCTCAATGGTCTACGAACATGCTTGCCTTGTAATCAGAAGATCCTCGGTTCGAACCGTTTCGGTGGGTGCGTACTGCTGCCGAAGAGTCCCAAACTAGGACGGATGAAACAACCGGCTGTCCAGTACTCCCTGGTGATGGTTTTCCAATGGTTCTCTAACTGATGTCATCCCATGTTGAAATCCTCCAACCAATGAAATGTTGTGTTAACAAAGCAGGATTTAATGATGGATTGACCAGAATTCGGTAGAACTCTGTATACAGAGATATTTATACAATTGAAAATACATTCGTAAATAAAAAAAATTGATGAGCAAATAAACTACATTGAATTGATCATCCCGAAAGACACGTGTGAATGTTTTTCAGGTCATGTTTAAACAGGTAATGTGGGAGAAGGGGGTATGAGAAATTAAAATTAAGATAAAATGCATTACACTTCAATTGGATCACTTAGCTAAATAATTAATCATTAGAGAAAGAACCTACATATATAAAGGATTGCGAACTGAGTAATATTAACAATAATAATAATAGTGCTGAAACGAGTTAAGATAAGATAAAAGATAGTTTTAAATGGATCGAGAATAATAGTAATAATAATAATAAGAGATAGAATAAAGTGTTAATAATAATAATAACAGTTAATAGGTGAAACATATTACCATGGTAGATTCAGAGTGACCACCATTTCCTTCTCTACACAGAGATCTAGCTTAATAAACTCTGATTGCACAAGCCTCCTCAATTGCAGGCATCTTTCTGTTTCTCTGTCTGCTCGCTGACAACGGTGAATGACTTGACAGAGAGGGTCAATATCATGTCGGTAGTCCACACGAAGTTGTCGAAATTCTATGGAGAGGCTTTCATCATTCACATAAAGAAAGATTGACCTCTGAAGCCTTGTACATTTGAACAGCATCGAATGCAGTAAATAGGATGGAGAGAAGGGATAGACTTATCGCCTCTGTATGACAAACTCTAATGAAGCAAGACAGATGGGAGAAAAACAACAAACACTCAATGAGCCTTCCTGAACTTAAAACATGTAGTCTCATGTTTATCACATTTAAATTCACGTATTTTCCATATGACAAATAACATACATACATACATACACACTCTCATACAAATGTAATCTTTACAAATCAACCATAGAAGAGTAAACACAACAACAATTTGACATTAGTCATTACAAATATATGTGAGGACTCCTTACATTAATATCAGTAAAAAGTTTGAGTATTGTGGATTAGATCAAATAAAGTATAATTATATTTCAATTATTCACACACAACTGGTGGATGGTGACTAGCAGTGGAATCCAGGATGCGCATTTCGTCCTATTTGGGACTCGTCAGCTGGATGTACCTGCATTTCTCAGTGAGTGATGATGTTCCCACCGAGGCTCGAACCCAGTACCCATAGTTTGAAACGCCAAAGCGTTATCCACTAGACCACTTGGGCCACGAGAGCCACCTCTTGTGCAACGGGTCATATTAATTATTGAATTGAATTTTTTGATTTTCCCGTCGATCAATGATACGTTTTGTTATTGGTAATATTTCGAGCAAAATTACCGCCCGTGTTCACACCACTGTTGGAATCGTTTTATTCACACATTTATGATTTGTACTGACATATATAGTTCTTTTTTTCGCTCATTCATGTTTTGTGTGTGTATGTGTGTTCAGGATTATATTCCACATTCATTCATGTGTTTGTATTTAGAATTATATTCCAAGTTGTTGATAGTTGTACTGAGTCACCCTTGTTACATGTATCCGGTGTGACTTTAATGAATATCGATTCTGTTATGAGTCTTTCTTTCCATTTGTTCATGTTTGTTTTTAGAATACACACATTGTCCCAATCGATATTGTGGTTTTTGTCCCATGCATTGTGCAGCTATCGATGAATTTTTTCAAGATTTTGTAAGC